TTTATCAGTTTGGGCTGAAAAGATTATACCTAGCGATACTTATCAAAGATTAATTAGTTGTATAGAATATTTAATCGATATTCTTGAAAGTATCGATTCAACAACTTCTTCAAAAAGCTCTTCTTCTTTACCTTTCCCTTTATGGCTTTCGTTTCAACATTCTTCCTCAAATATGGTTCCGGAAATTTTAAAAACTTTAAAATGTTGGAAAAAGAATTCCCCCACCCCTGCAGCATTAAATTGGAATACCTCGGAACGACTATTATTTAAATCTATGATTGATTTTTCTCCTGAAAAGAAAATCATAGAAAATTTAATGAAATATTATCAAATATCTCAAGGAGATGAAGAAAAGATTTATAAGAGTACCTATTGTCAATTTCCTATTAGTACTAATGTTCCTCAAACCAAAGGTCAAATTCATGCTCGTTCCAGATATAATTTTCCTTCTAATCATCAAGGAGATGAAGTTAATGTTACAATGTTAACTACTCCTACTATGGAATTTGATGTTTATCCTACTTCTTGTATTTTTAGAGCATTTAGAATTATTCCTGATCTTTCTAATTCAATTCTAACGAAATACTTAATCTTTCTGATGAAATTCCTAAACCTATTGAAAGGATTCCAAATTTATCTGATCAAATTCCTACTGCCCCCCCAAAAATCCTGATCTTTATGATAATTTATTATTATATTTATTACCAAAAATTTGCTTCTCTACAAAATAATAATAAATATATTTTAGATTATATATTAACAACCTGGTAGTTTTAACTGTTGTAGTAACTTTTATTATTTCTTTATTATGTATTAAAGAAATTTAATATCTGGATTAATTTTTAAAGAAAGTTTATTTAAATCATAAAACTGCAGTCAAAAGGAACATGGTATTGAATCACATGCCTAATTAAAATGTACTTTCCTAATTTTATATAAATTATAATAAAATATTTTTTTTTAGAATATTCATATGAAAAAGAAGTTCTTTCTGAATTTATAGCATATAGATTTCGAAAAAGTTTGAAGATTAAACACTTTATTATAATTAAATTATGTTTTTAATGATTATAACATTTGATAAATAAATAAATATATATTTAATAAATATATTTAAAATATTTAAAATACATTTTTATTTTTGAAACTCTCTTAAAAAAATATTTTAAAAAATATTAATGTTTATTGTTTAATATTTATTAGGAAACCTCGATTACAAGCTAACTAATTAAATTCATATGATAATGATTAGTAAATTCGATAAGTGTAACCATTCTATGAAGAATCTCTCATTTATCAATTTTTAGAAATAATATTTAATAGAATTCGAGATTCGAAGACTGAGAAACTTCTAGATTGTCTATAATGTAAATCGGTTATACACATAGCTGCATAGTTATGTCATGTTGTGTGTAAGTCACATTCTAAAGAGAATAGGCAATTTTTATAATGCAATCGTACAATGGAAAAATTAAAATTTATAAATCTATAAATACGAACAGTGAAAATTCAACTTCAATATAACGATTGAAATTTAACAATTATAATTTCATATTCTTATATGGTATGGAAAATTAATATTTGTAAACCTATATAAATATTGATTAGTATTTATGTACGACGAATATCGTATAACAACAGAAATTTAATCAATAAATTAATTAAAAAAAATTTTATTTTTCTCTTATAACCTTTTTTATATAATTTATTTATCCTATTTAAAATCTATTTGTTCAATTTTAAACTTTTGATAACACCGAAATTCAATAAAAATTTATTATAACTTTAGCCTACCGAACAGAACCTCCAAAAAATATACGTTACACCAAAAATGAAATTATGAGGAAGAATTTCAGTGGTACTTGAAGAGAAAAATCATATGGGACAATTTAATCTTGGATGTTATTATCAAATTGAGATTGAAATCATTAAATATGAAAAAGAAAGCATTTCAGTGGTATTGAAATCTGAAAATCATAAGGAACAGAATAATCTTGAAAATTACGGGATTAGGATCAAAACATTTCAATGGTACTCGAAATCAGTTGAAGGGTGAAATAATATTGTACAATACAATCTTGGTTGTTACTATGAAAATGGAACCATTCAAGGTAAAGCAAAAGTATTTCAGCCGAAGGAGATCATGATGGACAGTGCAGTGGAAATTTCTACTTAAATGGTATTGGAACCATAAAAGATGAAGCAAAATGCATTTCAATGGCTTGTGAAATTATAAAAATGCAATAATGGACCAGTTGTAATTATGAAATTGATAAGATTATTATATGACTCAGATGAAAATACAAATGGATAGGATGGATAGATTATAGTAAATTGAGAAATGTTTAATTAAAAGAGTATTTGGGAAGCAGAATGGATTGGTGTGCCTGAAGAGATATTTGAATTTTATGAATCAAATCAAGTTGTCTTGAAGAAATTTAAACATTAGTTCAGAATTTTAGTAAAGGTAGATATTAAATATCAATATGTTTTTAAATAATTTTACTTTATGTTAACTGCAGATTTCTAATGTCATAATAAATATGTTTTACCAATTTTGAGTATAATTAAAGTATGTGAGTCAGAATTAGCAGCTCAATCAAAAATTAATAGAGGCATCGCGATGTTGGATAGAATTAATGGAAAAATATCAGCATAAAGATCCATCTAAGCGTCCAAATGACTTTTAATATTCATAAAAATGGATGTATGATGAGAATACGGAACGAATGCAGATGACGATTCGGATTTATCTTTTGCTGAAGCCACTAATACCTTACAAGTAAACTACCTTCTTTTAATAATTTTCATATAATTTTGATTTGCTTGAATTACAGTATACCAATCTTATTTATTAATTGTTAAATATTGTTATTTCTATATTAATTATGTATATTTTTATAATACCAAAATAAATATATTCTATTATTAGCCTTACTAAGATATGAAATCATGAAGTTTCACCAAGTTACTAAAAGAGTATCCTTTTATTATTCATATTTAAGTGATATATAAACGGTAATGAAATAATATTAAAATATTATTCTAAATATGTATAAATTTATAATCTATTTTTCGGCTGGTATAGATTAGATTGTATTAAAGGCGTGCAAAGATAAGCAAGAAAACAAGAAAACAAGAAAACTAGATTTTAAATTCTCTTTAACATCTTGGTTCTAATTACCTTTTTAAAGCTTAAAAATAACATTCAACTGAAATAAGTTATTATAATAATCAACTATGCATTATGTGCTTGTGCTGTAATATTTACCTCTGCATCTAACCAAACAACGCAAAGATTTACAATAATAGCTAGTCTGCGTAACGTTACATATCGTATTCTGGTACTTCTCGTGATGATTTTATTTAATTTTCAATATCCAGTGATCCTAGAATAACTATCTTGATATCTAGGAAATCTATATAAATGTAATGTTATGCTTTAGCCAAAAGGTAAAAATATATTCTTGGCAGCTGAAAAAATGATACTAAGAAGATTTTTCAGGATAATAATGTCTTTTTTTATAGTTATAATAAGTTATTAGAAAAATTAGTTCTATAAAAGATTCTTATTACAAAATCGTATATGATTAGAATTTTACCATTTATTCCAAATTTGATCACATTTTTATATCGTCAATCAAGATAATATAAATATATTTTATGCAGGCGATTTTCTATATTTTCTATATATGCATATTAACAGTTAATAAATAAAAAAATACGATTACTTTATCATTTCATTGATCTATAATTTTGTTTTTCCGAATACGTTATTAAAGTGGGATGATTGTAATGAATAAATTCTACTCCTGACATTTAAGTCATTTTTGATCCATTTGGGAAATCCTTCTTAACTTTATTCTTATTACCAGGTATTACGGAAAGGATTAGTGCATGATCGACAAAGATGAATAGAGTTGATGATAATTTATCACATCAGGTCTTTCGAAATCAATCTTACAAGATACTAAAATAATCCACATTAATAAGAATGAACTTGAAACATAAGAATTAACGTTATTCTCAAGTCTCCAAATTTAATATAATCATACGTGCAAATAGTTTCACAAGCTTCAGAAGCACAAAAAAAAGGGATTTAAAAAAGGAATTCGAAAATTTTTTTAATGCACCCTTAATAATACTATAAATGAGTCAATTGCAGTTTTGCTATTATACATTACATGCATATTGCGTCTAATCAAAATATACATGGAATATTCATGCTGTCATGTATTTTAGGATATTTATAAATATGAATTGTGAAGGTCTTCTACGTTGTTTATTCCTTCCGCTCATCGTCGATTTATTTTTCTATGTAAAATTATAAAATTATTTAAATTATTTAAAGAAATGTCTATCGTAATTGACGTGACTTCAGTAAGAGAAAGTTCCGCGGAATTGAATAATGATAATGATAAAAAGATATCAAGTGACAGCGTAATACAAATAACTTGTTCCCCAGATATAAAATATGTTGCGACCTTGAACGAAAACGATGAAATTGGAATTTGGAAAGTTGAAGAGCGTGAGCCTATTATTATGAGGAATTCTACGCTGTCCTTTAAAGAAATTGGATTAATTTCTGATAAGAAACCGCTATCATATAATGATGATAATTATAATGAAGAAGAAGAAGATGATGATGATGATGAAAATGTAACAAAATTTGACAATGTTGATAATGTAAATATAAATTGTTTAATAATCGAAGATTCAGTATCATTTGACTTCGAAAAGATGTGTGGCATATCGGATGAAGGTTTATTAAATATCCTATATAAAGGCAAAACCAGAAATGTCAAAGAACGAGGTTAATAATTCTAAAAGATATTTTTATTACCTTTATTGTCTTTTTTTCCTTTATTAATTTTTAACTAATATTTACGTTTTTATATTATATATTTGGTTTGTTTATTAGTTATATTCGATTTAAGTAAAGACCGACGAGCTCTTGCAACATTTAAAAGTCATGTAACAGATTTAAAATTCTTAAAAAATGGATATATGGTAGCAACAGAGATGAGTGATAATGAAAAATTTGCGCCCTTTATCGGAATTAAAGTATATTCTATTAGGAAAACACATGAAAGAATACATTTAGAAGTCAAGCATTCTATGGCTATTCACCCAACGACTATATACAGTTCAATCGATTCAAAGAATTTTCTTTCAGATGGAAAATTTTTATTTGGATATGACCTTATACAACAATGGGATATAGTGAATGCAACTTTTGAAAATAATTTTCACCGGAATTTTGCACAAATTAGCCTTACTGATGACAAAGTTTTATCAAAATACAAAGAAGAAAATTATATATTAATGCATCTAAAGAAACCTAATATAAAACCTTTAAATTTTTCACCCTTTTACCGACTTCATAACGTCGATGAAATGTCAGTCAGTAGTAAAGATTTTGATTTTTTGAGTATTCGAGAAATTAGGGAAGATAATGCACAATTAGAATTTTATGGTTATTATTTCGTTGATATTTACGAAACGCAATTCGGACATATACCAGTGCAAGAAAAAGTAATTAGTATAATAGATAATAAACCACAAATGCGTCATGTTAGTAAAGAAGTTATGCAACAAAGCATCAATCAATTCATGTCAACACATTTTCTTTTATCAAATAATTTACCATTTATTAATGAAATCAAGGGAGAAAAAATAATGTATGGTGAATTTCCGGGAATAAATATAACATGGAAGATTGATCAAGGTGAAAATGGTGTCACACTTTCAGCCATAGGTGATCAAGGCCCGATTGATACTTTAATATTAGATAAATTTCTGACAATTTTTAATGATACAGAATCAATTAATGCTGATTCATATATTCATTCATATTTATTACCTAACGATGATTTAATTATAGTCACAAATTATAGTTTAATGTTTATTACAGCAACTATTGATAAAATACAGATATTATATTATTTTCCGAGAGATCAATTCTCTTTAGTTGGTGAAATGCTTGTGATTAACATAGATAGTAATTTTAATGTAGAAAGATTTGAATTCTTTTTAAATAATTTAGATAAAAAATTTGAGAAACGACATCCATACAAAGATATGATAATGATTTATCTCAATAATATTATGACATTTAATTTATATGCGGCAAATATTTTAGCAGCGGCAATTATTACACATAGAGGAGATTATATTGAACTTATTGTTGATAAATGTTTAGAATATTATAAAACAAATCCTGATCAAATCAATATATTTAGGGTTGTTACTTCATCACTACCCAAACTTAAAAAGTCTTATCCTTATTATATCAACAAATTTCTCATTAACACAGCATTAATTAAAGCTCCCCATATTAACAAAATTTACGAATCAAAACATTCACATCTTTGTGGATACACACACGAAACACATTTGTTTACATTAAATATTTTTTCAAGATTTTATTTTAATACATTACATTATATATTACTTTACACGTTACATTATTTTAAATTATTAAGTAAATCTTTATCTAAAAAGAAATTAGATACAAATCCTACAATTGATTTATATATTCCTTTACCAGGATTTGCATCTTATAGCCCAACGTATAATTTTTATGAAGAATTCTTTTGGAAAGCAGAACCAAATGGATTTGTTAAAACAATAATACCAGAATTATATTCAGATTGGGCTGGTGAAGCTTTAATTAATTTTAAATGGAAAACGTTTGGAAGAATTTATTATATCGGAATTTGGATATTATATACCTTCTTTTTCTTAACATTTACCTTGGCAACAACTGATTTTGGAATTTTAACTCGAAATCAAAGAGATTTTCTACTGAAAATTTGTGTTTTATTAGGAATTATACAATTATATTTTGAACTTCGTAAATTTATATGGAAACCTGGACAATATATTTCTATTTCAAATTTTACAGTTTTGATAGGTAATTCTTAATTTTAATTTTTTCTATGTCGCTATCCTTTACTTGCATTTATACTTACTAACGATTTTTTTATTTTTTTATTTTAATTTTTTTTTTTTTTTTTAGATTTAAATACATATACTTTTCCTATTTATACTTGTATTTTATTATTAACAAATGAATATGAAAACACAGCTATTTGGCAGCGAGTAATTTCTGTTTTAGTTTTAGATATAAAATTTATATTTTTTCTTAGATCATTTAGTTATTTCGGAGTATTTTTTGAAATAATTAGTAATGTCGCAAAAAGTATTCTTAGTTTTTCAATAATTTTAGTATTTATCATTTTCGCATATGCCCATGCATTTTACATACTTTTGAAACCTGCCAGAGATTTTGATCCTAATAATCCTGATTTTGATGATCCAAATTCAGCTTGGCGCTTAACAACTTCTTTTAGCACTGTGTTTCCTGATGGAAATGTTTCCTCAACTCGAACACTTATTGAAACTCCCAGTTCTAGTACAAATTTATTTGAATCTTTAGATACCGCTATTTTGGCTGTATTCGCTTTAATGACAGGTAAATTATCTAAAATTTGATGAATTAATTTTACGAATGTTTTATGTTTTTTTTTTTTTTATCAGAAGATTAATTTAAGATATTACAGGTGATTATTCTTCTTTGTCCGGATGGGAAATGCGTAATAACGCAACGCTTAGTGTTCTATGGATATCGTTCTTGTTCCTTACCGGAATATATTTATTAAATATGTTTATCGGTTTACTAAATTTGGGTATTTCAAATAAGGACAATTATGCTTTGTTTCTAACTAAGAAAGCAAAGGTATTTTTATTTTAATTTATTTTAATTTATTATAATTTATTTATTTTTTTTTTTTTTTAATTTATTTATTTTAATTTATATTTTTAAAAGTTAATTGCCGATATTGAATTATTTTATTTGTTACCTAATCAAAGAAGATGGAGGCATTGGTTTCCTGATCACATGTAAGCTTAAATTTTATAAAATTTATTAAAGTTCGGCGTACAATTATCTCAATTATTTCAATTATTTCAACTATCTTAATTAATTTAAATAATAGTTATTATCACGCAAATGTTGAAGAAGTGCAAGGAAAATTATTAGAATTAGATGAAATAAATTTACGTCCTGACAGACAATACAAATTACATAAACCAATAATCCATCATAATCTTTTAAAGCTTATTAACATGGATAAAAAAAAACAGGGAAAAACGTCAACGCTGGCACCGAGCGTTATGAAATTTGATGTCTGGACACAGACTGATTAAAATAATTTATTTATTTTTTTTTCATAGAAAATGTAAAAATTTGTTTATTTTTTTTTTGTCTTCGTAGAAAATGTAAAAATTTGTTTATTTTTTTTTTGTCTTCGTAGAAAATGTAAAAATTTGTAATTTATTGAATTAATTTACATATAAAAAAAGGTGAAAAATAAAAATTATAAAAATTCAAACCAGTTTATTTAAATAATGCATATTTACATAGTATAAATTCATTATTTAACTAATTATATCTTCTACATTTTATTTTATTTATTTCATTGTTTAAAACAACTTCACCTGATGCGAATTTGAAATATTATTTGTCACATATTATATATCACCCAGAGAATTTCCCCAGTTAAAATTAGCAATACTCTTTAATTATTATATTTATTATTATATTATATTATCAGTTATTACGGAAACAACGTGATATTCTGAAGATTAAGTACATAAAATTCCATTTTTTGACTTCGACCGCGATTAATGCGACAGGAAGTGATTTTCTACTAAGATACTTCTATGACTTATCGAAAGCCCTAGTTCTTTGCTACAAGATAATATATGTTTCATTTCTGTAGCATCGATATTTGCGGAGATATTCGCGTTTAAATTCGAAAATCCTTGCCATAAAATTTTCACGAACGTTCAATTTAAACGCGAAATATATCCGCAAATATCGATCTACAGAAATTAAACACATATTATCTTGTAGCAAAGAACCAGGACTTTTGATCTGTAATATAAATATCTTAGTAGAAAATCTTTCCCTGTCGCGTAAATCGCGGCCGAATTCGCGACTATAGTTACCTACTATGGTCACGTCTTACTACATTGTGACAAATTGACGTGATAATTAAGATGAAGACGTGATTCGGATCCTAGCATAAGTCTGCACCCTACTCATAAGTATTTTAGCGCTTTGATTAAAGTAAATACTCAGATATTAATTTCGCTATGCTGGCTTAAAAATACAAGGATATACAGTATAAACGTTTTTCTCAAGAGTATATTTACGAAATTTTAGTATTTTCATCAAACTAAACTACTACCTTTTAGCGACTAAGTTAAGATCCTCTATCAGCGGCTAACATTAAATCATTTTCCAAATTATTAATAATTTGTATTCTCTGACTCTACTGAAATATTGTGACTGATATTTTAATCCGAATGCTATTTTACATTGTAATCATCTTTATCATTAAGTAGTTCAATAAAGTTTTATAATAGCTTGTTAGAAGTTTTAACGTCTTTTTTTTTTAAGGTTACGGAAAAGAAGAAATATCATCAAATTTCTAATAGCATACATAATAATATCTTAAAATTTGAGTAAGAAACAATAATATATTTTAATGTAATGCTATTTTCATAAAATAAAAAATATATATTATTTTGTTTCTAGTTTTTTTAATAATTTTAAATACTTCATAATCTACAATTGAAAAGCATTTTGATAATAATGTTCTTATAGAATTTTCATAATCACTACCGTTACCATTATAGTAACTAAGATTATCTAAAAGTAAAATTACATTTATCACTTCGCAAATAAAAATCACATCCAAATTGTGTCCATATCTATGTTGACCACCTTTGTTACATTCCAAATTGCATGTTGGGAATTTTTACTCTGCTAAGAATTGAATTTTGAATATTAAATTATCGTTTGTTTGCATCCGTTTGCCATGGGATGTGTATTATCCCATGCTAAAGGATCATAACATCCAATAATTTCGTCATACAAATACCGTATTTGAATGACCATGGCAAATATTCCAGGATCAAATCCATCTCTAGTCCCTTGTAAAATTAATTGAAAATCATATGAGATATTTGTTGTTAAAAATTAATTGTTTTACATGTGGGAATTTCTGCAGCATGTTCTTCGGAGATTATAGTTTAAAAAGGTTCCTTTGCACGATAAGGTAATTCAGTAATTAAAATTGATCTTGGTGTGGTGCAGAAAGTCTAAAGACATCACGTACTATGCTACAGCTGAAATTTTATGGTCATATATATGTCACATGAAATTCATATGATCAAATAAATTTTATCAAAAAATTTAAAGTTTTACAATATACAGTACAGTGTCACGTCTGGACAGCACACTACATAATTACACAACAAATCAAGTTCTCAGTCTCAATAATAGCTTACACTTCTTCGTGTATCGCTATACAGTATAACAACTTAAATAACAACTACAAAATCGTGAAAGGTGTGTGTGTAAGTGAAGTAGAGGTAATTTTCCCTACGTATACTATCGGTGTTAGAAGATTTATAAGAGATAAAATGTTTATTTACGATTGAACAGTAAAAGAAAATTTTATTAGAAGTGGGCAACAAAATATTACAACGGCGTGTTTCTATTCTGTCACTACTTCTAACATTTATTATATATTGCTATTTTTAAATGTTATTATAGTTATTTAATTAATAAAGAAAAGATAAAAATAAAAGATTAAAGTGTTATTAATTTCTTTTGAAATATGCTGCAAAAAGGAATTCTCTCTTTCCTTCTTTTACTACTGCTACTTTTATATTTCTCTCTCATCACTTTTCCCTTCCTTCCATCATTTGTACTTCATTCTCATCATTTGTACTTCATTCTCATCATTTGTACTTCATTCTCATCATTTGTACTTCATTCTCATCATCGTACAACTCCATCATTCTCATCATCGTACAACTCATCATTGTACAACTCCATCTTCTCATCATTTGTATTTCATCATTCTCATCATTTGTGTTCTCATACCACATGTTTTCTGCACTGACCATCTTACCAATCCTTCGCCGTCACCACAACTTGTTTCATGTGAAAGATAACCAATCATATTTCTCTATTATAAATCACATATCACGTGAAATATGACCAACCGGAGAAGATTTTTTAGCGCCGAAATTTTTATTTTTATATCACAATACATCATTTTCAAACTTTAATAAAACAATAATTTATTAGTAAAAATATCAAAAAAATATGTTAAATTATAGAGCTTGTCTAAGGCTATTAAATAACGTATTTTTTTTTAAATTTCTATATTTAGATACAAAGTTATAACAATTTAAAAAGTGTGATGTCTTTAGACTTTCTGCACCATAGTAAAAATGATTGATTTTACTGGTCGGTCAGGAAGTGCTATATACTGATTTATATCTTCCTGAAGTTGTTCATTGAGAATTTTTTTGTAAGGTTTAATTTTATCATAAATTTCTGCACTTGAAAGTTGAAAATAACGAATATGAGGGATGCATTGTTGTAAAGAAGTTTTTAGTGAAAATAAATTTTCATTTGTCCATTCTTTAACATTTGTAGGTCCCGCTTGGTGACGTAACCCAAATTTTAATCTCTTCGATTTGCAAGTCATCTCGTTTGAGAAGAGATATTAGTGAAGAGAGGTAAAATCATTAGAATCGAAAATAAGATTTGGATATTTTTCAATAATATTATTGTAAAATTTTTTTTTAAATCTTCGAAGTTTTGAAAATGAGTTCTTAACCAAGAAGCCTTCGTATGAATAAGAAATGGTTCTAATTTATTGGTCAATTCCTAAAATTCAAATTCATTAGTAGTTAACATTAAATCAAAAATAATCTAGTTTCTGTTCTTTCCAAATTAACAATCCCATCATAAACATATCTACAAAAGAATTAATAATAATTTGAGTAAATAATGATAATAATATGTAAATGATATTTTTATAATAACCTACTGAAGAATAACATTGAAAATTTGGGTAGATGTATCTGACTTGATAATAATTATTTTGATGTTATTCTCTTTACGGAAATATTGTGACCAATATTTTAATAACGTTAGAATGTGACGTAAATGATTTTCCCGTTTTTTCAATTTTATTTTAATCATCTTTGTCATTAAGGAGTTCAATAAAGTTTTGAGATAACTTGTCAAAAGTTTTAATGTCATTTTTTTTAAAAGTTACAGAAACTAAGAACGATAAATAAAAATAGATTATATTATGATGATTACATTCTGACAGATAATTTAGTAATATTAGAATCAAAATTTTACTACGTAAAATTGGTTCATTTAACAAATTTAGATACAAATTTGATATTTTCTAAGCCTGTATATTCTTCTAAGGATCTCAATGCCATAGCTTCTTTCCAGGAAGAATGAAAATAAAATTTTACTTCAATAAAGATACTTTTATCTTTTACCCCAATTAATTATTATTTTATTAAATTTAATCCAATAAATATATTGTTAAATGAAATTCCTTTCGAATTTTTTAATAAATACATTAAAATTCTAATAAATACAAATACATTAAAATTCCTATTAAATTATTCTATGAGTATCTCCTTCAGTACACTTCCAAGTTTCATCTCTTTTGCCAAACTTTGGAGGATTTCTATACCAATCTTTTATATCATCTTTTCCAATACATTCAGCTAAAGTCATTGGTTTATAAGATTTTTCGAGAGAAAATTTAATTTCAAAATCTGCTAATGGTCCAACTGTAGTATTTATTCTATCGTGACTCAAACTAATGCGTGGTAGTCCATCGCTAGTACCTTGTGAAAAAAGGTTTTCACTGTCTTTCACTGAAGCTTCAGCCCAATCTCGGGTATCAACATCCCATAATGCAACTATGTAATTTCTCTTTATTAATTCATTACGAAGGTCAACAACATTTATTCCTGTACCAAAAGGAGGTCGGAAATATGTAGGGACAGTACCAAGAATTTTTTTAAATGCTACTTCAAGGTAATCGATTTGATAAATAATTTCTTCTTTACTGAGTGATCCAAGACTAGGATGAGACCAAGTATGAGCCGCAATTTGATGACCTTCAAGGAATGCACGTTGTAGGGTTTCGGCATTGTCATAGATGCAGGAATCTTTCTCTCCTGTATTACCATTAACAAAGAACGTCGCTTTTATGTTATGCTTTTTCAATTTATCTAAAAGTATATTCGTAATTTGTCTTGGACCATCATCAAAAGTGAGAGCGATTGAATTCTTTACGGTGCAAGTATTTATGACTTGAAGACCATCATTAAAGGTACCACAGAATCCGTAACCTTTTTGACAATTGGGTACGCAGTATTCTATAATAAATGATTGTTATAAAGATTAGAAGTATAGAAAATTAGAATTCACACAATAAGGTAACAATAAAATAACTTACCATGAGTAGATCCACAAAATCCTGTTTGTGAACAACAATCATTAAAAGGACATGTTGTGTTAGTCTTTGCGCCACATGTCGAATCGGTTGAGGCAGGAAAACAATGACCAAATTCTGATTGACATTCTACTCCACAAAAGGCTGTTATTTAAATTCGAACTAATTAAAACAAAAAGTCTTTCATAAAAAAAAAAATTTTTTTTAAAGAATTCATTTCACTTACAAACATCATCCCCGCAGAATCCATCTTTTGAGCAACAAGCATTATCGGGACATTTCTTATTTTCATGTTTTGGCCCACATCCATTTGATGCAGTTGCTGTAGATTTAGTTGCTGTAGAGTTAGTTTTCGTAGATTTAGTTGCTGTAGATTTAGTTTTCGTAGATTTAGTTTTCGGAGTTTCTGTAGATTTAGTTTTCGGAGTTTCTGTAGATTTAGTTTTCGGAGCTTCTGTAGATTTAGTTTTCGGAGTTTCTGTAGATTTAGGAGAGCACGAAGTTTTCAATTTTTTTGGGGTGGCGGTAGATTTAGGAGAACATGAAGTTTTCGATGTTTTCGGAGTTGTAGGTTTTGGAGAACATGAAGTTTTCAATGTTTTCCGAGTTCTTGTAGTTTTTGGAGGACATTTAGTTGTCACTGTTGTAGTGTAGATTACAGTATGTTTATATTGATTCGCAAAGGTGGTTGATATATTGAGGAGCGTCAAGATGGTGAAAAGAAGGATGAAATATTTTAATTTATTCATTGCTATTGATATTGTCGATGAATGTGAGAATAAATTTTTTTTTGAATATTCTCAACCTCTTTTATAATTAATTATTTCTTACACGTAAGAATTATTAACCATTTAAAATAGAATCCAACTAAGAAAGCCAGAATTCTAGAATTCTTATAAACTTTGTTCCATTGGTTCGCGCGAATTAAATGTATTAGATGTTCATCTTTCGATTTTTATTAACTTATTTAAATGAAAAGTTCTAAGTTAGGCAATGATCTTTTCACGAATTATCAATTTTCTTTGATAAAAAATTTTAAATATCAGTAATAAAATAGGTAATTAGATTAATTTCCAGTTTCATATTAAGATGTTGATCCCCTTTCACTTTTATATCTCTTGCACTTCCATACTTCTACCCCTAGCGAAAGTTGATATTTTCGATCTCACTAAATTAGTGGTTCAGTTAATATTATAATAATAAACTGTCGGTTTTTTTTAATTATTATGGTGACTTTTTTAAATTTTAAATGATTCTCAAACGAGTCATTTTTTAAATTCAAAATAGTATCATTATTTTTTTTTAATTCTCATTCATATTTTTATAATTAAAAATTTTTTATGGTTCTTGAATTCTTAAAATTATATATACTTGTGTATTTTTCTATATTATTTATTTATATTTTTTCTGAACCAAATTACAAAAAATTTGAAGCATTCTTAACAAAAAAAAATATAAAGCATTCAAAACCAGCGAATATGCTAAAAAAATAAACATTCTAAAATAATAATAAAAAAAAACTATATATCTATATTACCTATATAAATGTGAATAAGAAATTTCTGAATCTAATGAAAAAAAAATTTTATTATCTTTAGGATAATTGTTTTATTCTTTAACAGTTATGACAATCTTTCATATATATTATTACGTAAATTTAAACTTGTGTCCCAAAATATTTAGGTGAGCAAAGGGAATTGTTGGACGTAATTTTATATCATTTACTCATATTAAGCTTTTTATTTAAGAAACTCACTATAATATTAATGCATGATTTTAATATTTTAAACGGTAAGCAATTCCGGGCAAATTTGTCCACAATTATTCTTTAATTATCTTACATATAAAACGTTATGTGCAATGAAATTTTATCATGAATAGTTGATCATTATAACACGTGATCAAACTTCAAACTTTCGAATTAGGAAAATCTTAACCTGTGACACAGGCCTTCCGAATATCTATTTTTATTAAGTATCCTGGGGACTTGGAATTTTTTTAACGTCCATATTTCATCTAACATTTGTCATCTAACATTTGTCATCTCCATTTTGTCACAAGAATCATGAATGAGGATCCTCTTCGAATTATAATTAATTTTCGCGTTTGAAAATTGACTATTTTTTAATAAAATGCCGATTTATATTTATCTTTAATTATCTCCTCGAAAATTGATCATAACTAGCTAAATTAATATAGAAAATGTAAAATTTATCATGAGAAAAAATATTAACTATATCATTTTAATGATTATAAAGTAGCATTTCAACTTTAAATAAGAGCAAATAAAAAATATATATATTTTTTTTTAAAAGTGTCAAATGTTGCTATATATACAAGTCTTTTATTTACAAATATAACATCAAAAATATTATTAAGTAACCTCAAAGTTAAGAAAGAATTACATCTATTACTTTAAAATTGAACAAATAATGATGCTCGAATTTTTTACAATAATTTAAAATTTAAATACTTCTCATTTGGTCAAATTTAAAGTAACAGACGTGTAAATTTTACAGCCGATACAACGCTTTCTTAACTTTAAGGTTCATTATTAGAATTTTCGATGTTTTATTAGCAAGTAAAAGACTAATATATGTAGCAACAATCGATATTAATTTTCGAGATTTTAAAAGAAATTTTTTATAAAAATTTTCATTAAATTAATTATAAATTGCGAGCAAATTTGCCCACAAAACCTTGAGTAATAATTAAACGATATTATCCCTTAAACGGTATTGACGTCACAAGTTACTAATAAATGCGGGCAAATTTGCCGAAATTCACATGATTACCGTTTAAGGGATAATATTAACGTTTTTTTTTAAAAAAAAAACTCTTATGATATTAATAAATGTTGCATAAATTATTCTATTAATTGCGATATACAATAGAAAAAAAAAATATGATTACGTAATAAATTATAAGAACGTGAGAAAACTAAAATGTATCCCGTTTTGGCTGCATACGATAAGATAACTTTCTTTATTCTCTTTGTAGTTTTGGAAGTATTTTTTGTTCATTTATTCTTATTTTGTTATCACGTAATACAGCATACAGCTAATTTAAATCATTTATTCCTATTCTGTTATTGCGTAATATAGCATATAGCTAATTTAAATAATTAATAGCCTATTTGGGTAATGCATATATTATAGTATAAGTGATGATCTATTACTTTCTCTGACTTGTATTGGTATTTAACTCCACATGTTTCAATAAAATCATTCATCATGCATTCCGTCAACCCTTGATAACAAAAATCGATATCAAGAACAGACATAAATATTTATTTTTAAATTAATTATCTATTTTTATTTAATAAAAATATCTTTTTTTACGTATTTTATATGATGTATTGTATCAAACATTTACATCAATACAGACAAAAAATGCTGATGATACTTAAAATACACTTGATCAATATTTGACTGACATTGTTTAAGGAATTTAAAGATATTCTTACTCTTTGTTAAAGATAAATAAAACTGTTTTCCTTATAAAAAATAAGGATCAAATAACAAATGATTTGAATTTTTTTTTAAATGAAAACTCTGATAAGTAAAAAATGTTTAAATAATTTGCAAAAATCAGTAATGCAGTAATCGAATCGTGGTTGCAGATAAATAAAAGTAAGATCTAAGATAATAGATTTCTAAAAAAAGAATTCATGTGAAACATATGAAACAAATTTTATCCTTATTACCCCAATAATGTCCGAAAAAAGCAATGTGGGAAAGTAAATAAAGACGAAATTTTTTATTGTTTATATCTAAAAATAAATTCAAAAAAAAAGTATAATAAACAATTACCATAATAAGTAAAAAGAGACTCAAACAAGGTAATATTTTGATTATCGAAAAGAACTGGCAACGAACAATAAAAATTCATTCAGATAAAATTTCCTTATGAAATGAATTGTGTGATAATTAGTACAAGCAAGTTTGATTAGTTTCATTCATAATATTAGTAGTTTTATTTTTTTTCTCTTAGTTTCAGCGTTGAATGCATAGAAATTATTATATACAACGATTATGAATTTTGATTTCGAAAATACATATAAGCACTGGTTACCTGAAAAAATGAAACCTCATACTATAATTGATTTATAGATATCACATAGAATTTTTTTTTTTTTTTCTCGCAATCTATAATTGATTTATAGATTCATTACATTTTTATATACGGAAAAAGCATTAGATATAATTTTTTCAAATTTCAAAACATTCTTTTAAAAAAAATTTTACATTTGCATAATAGAATATACATTTCATACAATTAAAAATATATATATATATTTTAAAAAAATGTCAACTCTTCGATACATAATACTTTTCTTTATAATATTAAGTTTACTAAATGTTGCATTAGCGATCAGATGTGGACCAAATTTTAAAAATGCCAAATGTCCAGGTGATACTTGTTGCTCTCGAAAGGGAGTTTGCGGAACAGGCGGTGAGTTTTAATTTTTTTCTTATTTAATTTAATTTTTATTATTTAATTTTGATTTATAAAAATTTTAAATTTTATTTTAGCACATTGCGGAAGAGGGTGTCAACCTAATTTTGGTAGATGCAATACGTTTGTTAAAACCCACACAAAGCCTTGTGTGACCAAAACTAATAAACCTACTCCATCAATTTCGGTTGACAGTTTATGTGGCCCGAATCATGGAAATGCTACATGCCGCAATAATCTATGTTGTTCTAAATCAGGTCATTGTGGTAGTACTTCAAGTAAGAATAAATTTAAAATTATATTTTTTTTTTTTTCATCATGTTTTATAATTTAATCATTTCTTTATTTTATCAAATATATATAACAGAATATTGCAAAAGCGGATGTCAATCATCATTTGGAAGATGTGATTCTTCCAATTTAAAATCATCAAGTTCGCCTACAACAGCAACAGAAACGGAAACGGAAACATCAGAAACAGAGACTTCAACTACACAAACGACAGAAACACCAGCCACAACAACGGAAACAGAAGCAATAACTACGATAGCGACAGAAACAATAGAATCAGAAACACCAGTCACGACAACAGAAACACAAGTCACGACAACAGAAACACAAGTCACGACAACAGAAACACTAACATCATGTTCAACGTCATCACCAACGGTACCAACTACAGAAACAACAGAAACAGAAACACCAACTACACCAACAACGAAAACAGAAATACCAACATCATCACCAACAGCACCAACAACAGAAACATCAACAGAAACAGAAACAGAAACAGAAACACCAACTACAACAACGACAGAAACACCAACCGCAACAACAGAAACAGAAACACCAACCACAACAACATCAGCATCAACAGAAACAGAAGCAATAACTACGATATTGACAGAAAAAATAGAATCAGAAACACCAGTCACGACAACAGAAACACCAACATCATGTTCAACGTCGTCAACATCATCACCAGTTTCACCAACAACAGAAATAGAAACACCAACTACAGAAACACCAGCCACAACAACCTCAACAGAAACAGAAACATCACCAACATCAACTGCAACAACAGAAAGTCCAACAACACCAACTACAGTAACAACAGAAACAGCAACAACAGCAACATCAACAACAACAACATCATCATCATCACCAACTACTTCCAAGTTTCCAATTTCGACTGATGGTGCATGCGGGCCTAAAAATGGAAATGCTGTATGTCCTAATGATGATTGTTGTTCAGTAAATGGATTTTGTGGATCAACAAAAGGTAATGGTCCTCGATTTCATTTTTAATTTATTTTTAATTTATTTTTTAATTTATTTTTTAATTCATTTTTTTTTTTAATTCCCATAATATAGATCATTGCGGAACAGGTTGCCAACAAGATTTTGGATTTTGTGGTATAATTAATGATGGTTTAGAAATAATTACTACTTGTTCCAACAAAAATACTATTGCTATTACTTTTGATGATGGTCCAAGACAGGTAATTTATATATGTTTTATTAATTTATTATTCTTATTTTTATCGTTTATCAGTTATCTCATTAATCTTACGCTTTTTTTTATTACTTTTTTTTTTTAGATAACTTCTAGACTTCTTGATGAGCTTGCTGGTCGAGAAGCAAAAGCAACATTCTTTATTAATGGTCATGCAGAACCAGGATCTTGCATTTATGATTTCGCCGATATAATTCAACGTGCTCATACCGAAGGTCATTTATTAGGTTCACATACTTGGTCACATCCTCATTTAGCTCAAGTAAATGAATCAGAAATTGTTTATCAATTAGATCAATTAGAAACGGCATTTAATAAAATTCTTGGTACCACACCAAAATATTTCAGACCTCCATTTGGTGAAGGATTGAATGATCCTACACTTCGTAAGGAATTAATAAAAAGGGGTTATAAAGTAGCATTATGGGATATTGATACTCGAGATTTTGATGAGGATTTTAAAACATCAAAAGAACTATTTTTACAACAATTTAATGCATCAGAAAAAGGTACACCACATATTGTTTTAAATCATGACAGAGTAGTAACTACAAGTGAATTATTGGGTCTGTTTGAAGTAGAATATTCTATTTCTCAAGGATATCAAGTACAAACAGTAGCTGATTGTACAGGTGATATTAATCCCGAAGATTGGTATAATGGACCAGTAATATTTGGAACTAGAGATGATACATGGAAATGTACTTCGGATGATATGCATTTACAAATTCCCAGTTTAGAATCTTAATCTTAGTTAAAAAATTGTATTATAAACATTTAATAGCATAACATTACATTAATAGAATAGTATTAACATAAGCACAGTCCGATTAAAAAATTGTATTATAGACATTTATTAATAGAATTACGTACATTAAAAGCATAGTCCGATTAAATTAAGTTTTAAATAAAGTTAATAAAAAAATTTCAATTCTCTTATAATATAATCAAATGTAATAAATTGTTGAATGTATTAAATGTGTGTGTATGTTATAAATAGCCGTTAATGAAATTTAATTGTTAATTTGAATAATACAGAAACTAGATTTATTTTTGATTTAATGTTATAATAACTGCTAATGAATTTAATGAATTTGAATTTGAAGAATTGACTAACAATTTAGAAACATTTCTTATCGATACTAAAGCTTCTTGGTTAAGAACTCATTTTTCTCTGGTCTATCATAATATTTTTGAAAAACAAAACTTCAAAGATTTAGAAAATTTTTACAATGATATTATTAACAAATATCCAAACCTAATTTTCGATTCTAATGATTTTACCTCTATTCCCGAATCTGCACTAATGTCTCTTCTCAAACGAGATGATTTGCAAATCGAAGAAATTAAAATTTGGGATTATTGCTCTACAAATGTTGAAGAATGGACCAATGAAAATTTCTTTTCACTTAAAACTTCTTTACAAAAATGTCTCCCTCATAATCGTTACTTTCAACTTTCAAGTGCAGAAATTTATGATAAAATTAAACCTTACAAAAAAATTCTCAATGAACAACTTTGGAAAGATATAAATCAGCATATAGCACTTGCTGATCGACCAGTAAAATCAGTTATTTTACCACCAAGAACAACTTTAATTACTGAATTACCTTCATTTGCAAAGGAACCTTTTTCAACTATCGTTTCCGAAGAACATGCAGCAAAAATTTCTGCATGGCAAATGATCCTTATGATTTTCAATTAATTTTAAATGGGACTAGAGATGGATTTGCTCCTCAAACATTCTGGAATATTTGCCATGGTCATTCTAATACAATAGTTGTAGCAAAAGTTAAAGAAACTGACGAAATTATTGGAGGTTATAATCCTTTAGCATGGGATAACACTACTGATGGTAAAATGGGCACAAACGAATGATAGTTTCATTTTCTCATTAGAAAATGGGAATATCCAAAATTCAATTCTTAGCAGAATAAAAAATCCCAACGTGCAATTCGTAATTTATCAAAAGGTAATCAAAATAGATGTGGACCACGATTTGGATGTGATTTCTTTTTGCGTAGTAAAGAATCTAATTTTACTTTGGATGATCTTAGTTACTATGATTGTGTCGATTATGAAAAAACCTATAAGAATACCATCGTCAAAATGCTATTCAATTGTCAATTATGAAGTATTTAAAATTATTAAGAAAAACTAATTAGAAATTAATTATTTAGGAATAAAATAATGTTGTTTAAATATGACACTAAATTTTAATTTATTCTAAAATTTATTCTTTCTCAAATTTTAATTTATAAAGTATTCTCGCCCATTTAATTTGATATTTTTGTCAGTAATGTGATGTAATACAAATTTTCAAACATGCATGATATTTTATTTGTTGTCTTTTTCGTCTTTTCCGTAACCTTCAAAGATAAAGATAAAAAATGGCATTAAAACTTTTTGACAAGTTATCTCAAAACTTTATTGAACTTCTAAATGACAAAGATGATTGCAATGTAATCATTAAAATTGAAAATAAGGAAAAATCATTTACGGCTCATTCTAATGTATTAAAATGTCGGTCACAATATTTCCGTAAAGAGTTAGAGAATATTCAGCCAAACGAAAACAACATTAAAATAATTATTATCAAGTCAAATATATCTACCCAAATTTTCAATGTTATTCTTCAGTAAGTCATTATTAATTATAAAAATATCATTATAATGAAATTTACATATTATTATCATTAATTTACTCAAATTATTATTAATTTTTATGTAGATATATTTATGGTGGGATTGTTAATTTGAAAAATACAGAAACTAAATTTATTTTTGATTTAATGTTAACTACTAATGAATTTGAATTTGAGGAATTAACTAACAATTTAGAAACATTTCTTATTGATACTAAAGCTTTTTGGTTAAGAACTCATTTTTCTCTGGTATATCATAATATTTTTGAAAAACAAAACTTCAAAGATTTAGAAAATTTTTACAATGATATTATTGCCAAATATCCAAATCTAATTTTTGATTCTGATGATTTTACCTCTCTTCCCGAATCTGCACTAATGTCTCTTCTCAAACGAGATGATTTGCAAATTGAAGAGATTAAAATTTGGGATTATGTCATCAAGTGGGGAATTGCTCAGAATCCTGGTTTACCTACAAGTGTTGAAGAATGGACCAATGAAAATTTCTTTTCACTAAAAACTTCTTTACAACAATGTCTCCCATATATTCGTTACTTTCAACTTTCAAACGCAGAAATTTATGATAAAATTAAACCTTACAAAAAAATTCTCAATGAACAACTTTGGGAAGATATAAATCAGCATATAGCACTTCCTGACCGACCAGTAAAATCAGTCATTTTACCACCAAGAACAACTTTAATTACTGAATTACCTTCTCGTGCAAAAGAACCTTTTTCAACTATGATTTCTGAAGAACATGCAGCAGAAATTTCTACCTGGATTGACCGTAAAACAATTAATTATCCAACAACAAATAATCCTTATGATTTTCAATTAATTTTAAATGGAATTAGAGATGGATTTGATCCTCAAACATTCTGGAATATTTGCCATGGTCATTCTAATACAGTAGTTGTAGCAAAAGTTAAAGAAACTGACGAAATTATTGGAGGTTATAATCCTTTAGCATGGGATAACACTACTGATGGTAAATGGGCACAAACGAATGATAGTTTCATTTTCTCATTAAAAAATGGGAATATCCAAAATTCAATTCTTAGCAGAGTAAAAGATCCCCAATTTGCAATTCTTAATGTATTAAAAAATGATCAAAATATATATGGTCCATTTTTTGGAAGGGATTTCTATTTGTGTAGTTTTAAATCTAATTTTACTTTAGATAACCTTAATTACTGTGATTCAAATGATTGTTATGAAAAACCTATAAGAACATCATCGTCAGATTACTTTTCAATTGTCAATTATGAAGTATTTAAAGTTACTAAGAAAAATAATTAGAAATTAATTTTCTAGAAATAAAATAATGTTATGAAAATTTTTTTTTTTTTTACTTTGACATTAAATTTGTATTCCAAATATTTATTAAATAACTTAAAATTTGAGTCAAAGAATAATGATATTTTTTAAAATAAATCTTATTTTTTTAATAAAAATTTATAATTATAATAATACTTTATTTTTTTCTCGGGAATTCTGTGAGAGTTTTTGTTGTTGCTTTAAATAAGATAAATAAATAAAATAAAATGTAAAAGAATTCTCTTAATTTGAAAATATTCTGAAATTCGTTTTTATATTATCATGAGGGTTGAAATAATACAAAAATAATTCCAATTCTCTTCATTATATTACTCCATCATTCTACTGTTTTAGCACTGATAAATTTAATAAATATAGAATCCATAAAAACGTAACACGAAAATCTTGCATAATGTAAAGAATATATAGAATGTAGATCATATGATATCAAAAAAATATAAATTGGGGACGCGGATTATCATCTCTTTTTTTTTTTTTTATCTTAATAATTTTGATTATTTCGATTATTATTATATATATCTATCCGATATGCATAATTTAACTTTACGAAGTGGTAGTAATGTTTTAAACTTTTCAAATTTCACATTCATTACCGATTTAAAAACCACACATCATCAATTATTTAGTAGAATTTATTACTTTCATCAACCTCCTCATCATTTTTTTTTTTCACAAAGAAGTCGTAGTGGCGGTGGAGGAGGTGGTGGTGGTGGTAAAATATTTGTTGTCGCCAATTGTCGTTGTTATCAATCATTTTCATCATCATTATCGGCTCCTTCTTCTTCCTCCTCTTCAAATTCTTCTTCTAATTCTAGTTTTAATAATAATATGAAAGAAACCAAAAAACAAACGGATCATCATCACACAAATAATAAAAAATATAAGAAAAATTTATTTGATAATTCTTTACCTAATAAAAATGCATTTCTTAAAGCATTACATAAACAATTAGAAGTTGAAGAAGTTAGTAATAATAATAATAATAATAATAATAAACAAAAAAATTGTAAAATAAAGATTCCAACCGATGCAGCGAAAGTAAGGTTCGTTTCTAAAAATAATTTTTTTTTTTTTTATAAATGAAATTATAATATTTTATTATACTTGAAATATTAACTTTTAAATTTACAATATATAAAAAAATCATATATAATAAAAATTACAAAACAAACAAACAAACGAACGAACGAACACACGAACGTAAAATTATTACAATAAATAATAATAATTTTTTGTACACACAACACAGGCATTCAATAAAGTCAACCAAACATTATCACCTCCCAACATTTTTCAATTAACTTCCTTACAAGCATTAGAATTTTATAAAATTTTACAATCCTCTTATTCTTTAAAACCTTTTTATTATAATTTAATGACATACTTATTACGTCGATGTGCCAATTATGATAGATTAGATTTGGTGGAAATTTTCTTTGCTCAATTTATACAAGATATTAATGTTAACAAGAAGGAGAAACATTTAATTGAAAGATTTATGATAAAGGTTTGGAATACGTTATCGGGGATCTACGCGGAAAAAGGATTATTTGATGAAGTTAGGATTCGTAAGTATGATATTTCCGTTTCTTTTATAATTTTAATTTAAAACTTTAATAATTTATTTTTAATTTTAATTTAATTTAATTTTTTTAACTTTTTAATTTTTGATAATTTTAATTTTACTTTTTTTTTTTTTTAATAGTATACGAAAGAATGGATAATTATGCCACACGTCCTAACAATAAGACATACACGACATTAATAAAATCAACCAAAAATATTCATCATTGTTTTATTTACCTGGAAAAATTGATTGTCAAAGGTTACAAAATTAATCTTGAAGCATTAAATTCGGTTCTTCGTTTATGTTTAATCTCATCTTCAACCGGTTCATATCGACAAGAAATTATTAAAATTATCATGAAACAAATGTCAATTTGGGGTATTAATCCTAATGGAGAAACTTTTCGAACATTATTACAAAGTTGTCAAAATTTCGAACATTTGGAAAAGTTATGGTCAAAAATTATGACATTGGGATTTCATCATAATCAAGCGTTACAAGTGGAAATTATGAAAATATGTTTAAAATTGGCGTTTCAGGATGAGGGAATAAAGATTGAAAGTAAATTTTATAATAGTAATAACAGTAGTGACATCTATAATAGTAGTAATAATAATATTGATGTCAGCTCTGTCAGTTCTATTAGTCCTGTCAATCCCATTAGTTCCGTTAGTCCTATCAATCCTGCCAGTCTCGTCGGTTCCGTCGATTCGGTCAATTCTGTTGATTCCATAATTAGTAATGACAACAATAAGAATATCAAAAATATCAAAGATAAATATATTCCAACCAAGAAATTTATTGAGACAAGGGAAGCGGGATTATCAAAATGTTTAGATTATTTATTAAGAATGCATCGTAAATCACAAGGCGAAATGGCAATTGGGGCATATAATAATTTATTAAAAGATTGTATATTAAAAGGTGATATTGATAGAGTAATGAAAATATTGGAAATAATGTGGTCAAAAAATTTAGAACCTTCGATACGAGTGTATCAACAATTATTAGATAATCTAGGAAGATTATTTGTCATTCATTCCAATAATAATATAATTATTCATCCAAATAATTTATCTCCTCAAACCATTTTCATTAAATCCCAACGAAAATATTTATGGAAATTATTAGAAGAAATGTTTGCCAGACCTAAAACCAGTATAATGTCAAAAAGAATAATTAATTCTATAGTACACGCGTTAGGTAGATTCGATGACACACGTGGACTATTAGAATTTTATGAAGCGAGAATAAAATTTGATCGCATTAATAATAATAATAATAATAATAATAATAATAATAGAAATAAAAGAGGAAATACCAATAATCATATTAATATTAATTACATTAATAATAATGATAATCACCTACTAAAGAAAAAAAAGAACTACAACAATAACAAAGAAACGATAGAAAATAATTTCGCGATGCGATCAAGTAATGTGGCTATGGATATTTCATTATTCAATTCATTCATGAAAGCAATTTCACATATTCCACCAATAATAATAAATTCATCACAGGCGTCTCCTTTATCACAGAGTAATTTAACAACAACAACAACTACTACTACAAAAACTACAACAAATACTACTATTACTACAACAAATAATAATAATAATAATAATAATTCAATATTTTGTGATCCTTTATCATCTTTAGAATTATTCAATAAATTACCAACATACCTTGAACCGAATCAAGAAACCATAGAAACTTTATTTTCAAATTTAAGAACATTAATTGATTTTAAAAAATTTGGAATTTTCTATTTTAATTCCATGTTATCAAGAACATCAGTTAATATTACAAAAGGAGGATTAGAAAATGTGATTATGAATGTTATCAAGAATAATATTATGAATGGTTGTAATAATAATAATAATCATAATAATAATAATAATAATCATAATCATAATAATAATAATCATCATCATAATAATGTGAGTAATACATATGATTCTGGGTATTATTATTCTGGTGATGTATTATCAAAGAGGAATAAATGGAATAGAGGAAATAGAGGGAATAAAGAGAGTGAAGGGAATGAAGAGAATAAAGAAGCAGAAGAGATAAAAAAGATTATTGGTAATAATAATTATAATATTGTTTGTCAAGTGGTAAAATGCATAGTAAATGAAATAATTAATGTTTATGATAAAAAAGATGTGGTAGAATGTTTAAAGATATTAGAAAAATTGGAAAAAATTAAAATTTAATTTTATTTTAAATGTACATTTATTTATTTATTTATATTTTTTATTTTGATTAGATATTTATTATTTTATTTAGATAATTTAATATAATTTTTGATTATTTATTATTACAAAAAAAAAAAAAAAAAAACTTTTAAAATCTTTTTTTTTCTAGAAAGCAATGAGGATTGTAAGAATAACAGTAAGAGAAATTCCTAAAATTTGATTATAATATTTTTTATAATATTTTATTACTTAAAATACAAATAAAAAAAAAAATAAAAAAAAGATACAAGATCTATTGAGCACTTGCAGTAGATGTGGATGCCATTTTTTGAAGGTTTTGTGTATATTGTCTTTGAAGTTCGATAACCTTATAATTAATAATTAATAATATAATTAAAATTATTATTTATTATTAAGAAAAGATTCAAATTGTTTTGATTGTTTTTCTTTTTATTACCTCATCTTTTTTATTCTCTGATTTCTGATTTAAATCTTCTAATTGAGCTTCTACGCGTTTACTGAATAACAAATATTTTTTGAGTATTGTAATTATTATTATTATTATTATTTCTCTCTTAGAAAATTCGTAAAATAAATAAAATAAAAATAAAATAGTTCAACCAACATTTCAGATTTAATATATTCCAACCGTTTTGATACATTTAAAGTGGCTTCGGGTTTATCTTGTTTAACTAATACGGGCCCAATCAATTTATAAATATTTGAATCATCATTTAATAATTTAAATTCCTACGTTGTTTATTATTAGATTTATTATTATTAGATTTTATTATATTTGAAATCGAAATATGAAAGATTTGAAAATTTTAGAATTATTTCAAAAAGGTAAACCAATAAAACCAATAAAAGTAATTGGGTGAGTAAAAAGTTGTTGTAAATACCTTTTCTACAAGTTCATTCTCTTGTAATTGAGAATCAAGCTTCTGTCTTGCTTCTATAACATTAGCTCGATCTATTTGAATATTTTAAATATTAAATTAAATTACATTAAATATGATATATATATATTTATATTTATTTATTTAAATTATAATAATTATAATATTTAAATAATTTTTTAATTCGCTTTAAATTTTTAAACCATTAATATAAGTAAAATAATAATAATAATAATGAGAATACCTTTTTGAAGTTTTTGATATTCTTCAGATACTTTTTCCAGACGGGATTCAAGGGACAAGGACATGATGAGATAATAATTATAATATTTATGATTATGATGAATGAATATTTTTTCTAAAGGTGAAGAAAACGCGTAATATAAAAAAATTAACAAAAATCACAAAAACGATAGCAAAGAGAGAAAAAAAATATTAATATTTATAATTTTTTTCGGAAAGATAATATGACGACACAGTTTGTGTTACTAACTAGCACAATATGTACATAATATGTACACGCACTTGATCAACGAACTAGACAATCGTATATATATATAAACTTCGTTTTCCCTATAAAAAAAGTTTAAATTCTTTGTTCTTCAACTTTTCAACTTTCTTCACTTATTATCATTTTATTATTATTATTATTATTATTAATTATTATTATTTCGATATCATTTACCATGGTATGTTAAAATTCCTTCTTATCAATTTTATATGTAAAACATTTATTGATAAAAATCTATTTTTTTTTTTTTTTAAAAAAAAAAAAGACAGCTCCTTCTGAAGTCGAAGATATTATCAAACGTTTACAGGCGAATAAACATGTACAAGAAGTATTGATTATTAACGACTCTGGACAAATTATTAAATCAAGTATGGACTCTGGGTTATCTAAACAATATTCAGATTTAATCACCAAACTTATTGAACAAACTGTAAACGTTGTAAAGGAATTAGATGACACTGTGAGTTTTTCTTTTTTTTTTTATTTTAACGTGATTTATTTTATTTATATTATTCATCATTGGTTTTTTTTTTTTCTTTCTTTCTTTCTTTCTGGGATGACTTTTATATATAGAATGATCTTTCATTCATGCGGATAAGAACTAAAAAACATGAAATCATGATTGCACCTGGTAAAAAAAATTTCTACCTTTTGATTTTTTTTTAATTTAAAATGCTAATTATTTATATTAATATATTCCTATTTTTTTTTTTTTGTCTCATAAATAAATAATAATAATAAAATAAAGATAAAGAATATTTTCTAATTGTTATACAAAATCCGGATAAATAATGATTAATGATTTAACCAATTAGTCCTCTTTAAAATTCTCTTATTTTATATTATTTCTATAAATTTTGCAAGAATTTTAAATTAAAAACCATTAAAAGATCCATTTTTTTCCAATTAAATTTTGAATCAATGTTTATTTATTTATAAAATTTATTTTATTATTTTATTAACATATATATGTATAGATTGATATACCACAAAATATCATCCAATAAAAATTTTAAATTTTTAGCATTATATTAAATGCAAATTTTCCCTCTTTTTTTTTTTTTTTCTTATCTTTTGTATAAAATATTTGACGACGACGAAAGACAAATTGACTTCAACTTTCTTTTATCTCTTTAAGAAATAATCATTAATTACAAGAGTTTCTTTAAAAGACCGTTTCCCTTACCGTAGTCAATCGTACCTTATCGTTATAAAGGATCTTACATATTTTAATAATACTCATTAAAATACTTATTAATAATAACATAATTTCATAAAAAAATAAAATAAAATTTATTATATCTTGTGAAAAGTTGTATATATATAAATATATTTAATATAAAAAAAAAACTCAAGTCCTAATGCAAGCTCAAACCAGTGTCTCTTTGACGCAGCAGGTACATTTTTTATAATAAAGTGATCTAACATATGAATTCTGTTACATAAATGTTTTAATTTCCCTTTTTTTTTAAAAAAAAAAAATTTAATTTCTTTTTTATTTCTTTTATTTGATAATTTTATTAACTGCGTATATATATATAATATGTATAAATTTCAGCTTAATGCGTTATTGTCAGAACCTTCTTTGATACTTCAATATCTTAGAGCTGCACCTTCATCGATAAACACAAAAAATAATCATCAATCGAATTCTAATACGTTTCTTAAGCGATCAGTACGTTAATTCGTTATTTTTCATTAATTTTGAGATTATTAAAATAAATTACTAAAAATTTACTAAAATAAATTATTAAAATAAATAATTAATAGCCACAAGAATTACCAGAATGTTTAAAGATTAGTCAAGATATTCAATCAATAACTACTGAAGCATTAGTAGATGCTATCAATCTTTTACAAACATATCCTTCTTTTTCAACTTACGAAGTTCAAGATTTGTTATCTAAATTTTCTGGTAAATATTTTTTATTTTTTTTTTTATTTTTATTTTTATTTTTTATTTATTACTTCTGATTTATGAAATGAAAAAAAAAAAAAAATGAAAATAATAATAAATTCATAATAATAATAATAATAGGTAACATATCTACTATATCACCATTTAATTATTGTAATGGATTATTGAGAACATCAAATAATTCAAAATCATTACGGAGAGGTATTGCATAAAAAAATTATAAAATTTATCTATTTTATTTATATTTATTATATTTATTATATTTCAATTTATTGCTTAATTATTCATTAATTCTTTTTCATACAACTAAAAAATTATTAGGTTTCTCAAATCTTGGATATAATAATATTTGTCGATATTTCACATCACACGGTTCAATTCGATTCGTAAATCAACGACGATTACAATTATTAGAAGCAGAAGCAAATGCCGCTCCTAATGACGCGTCCAAACAAGCTGAATTTTATAATGTAGGTGATTATCTAAATCTAAGAAATAAGGATTTTGGATTTTTCGAATGAAAAGAAAAAGAAAAAAAAAAAAAAACAAAAAAATTATATAATTTAATTTACTATTCTTTTTTATTAATGTTAATTATGATTATTAATTAATTATTACTTATTATAATTTTATTACTATTTTATTTATCTTACATATTATTATGTAACCTTTATATAATATTTTATATAATTATAGGAGTTGCTCTTATCAAATAATTACAATGTTGTTATTTCTAGATTTGAACGCGGAAAATTTGCTCATAACGAAGATTGTTTTCAAGCGTATGTAACTGCTTTGGCAAAATCTGGTCAAACAGATAAAATATTACCCAAGATAGCTCAAAAATTGGAACAAGCTGGTGGAGTTGAAGGAGGTGAGGAATTTTATTTTATTTTATTTTATTTTTATTGATTTATTTTTATCTCATTAATTATTCAAATTTTTTATCTTTCTTCTGATTCTTACATTTTTTTTTCAAATTCTTCCAAACTCATTTAAATCTTATCTTTTTTTCTTCCGATGTGAATAGTAATGAAGACAATTTCAACTAATGATTTAATACAAAACGTTGTGAAAAGTCAAGGTAAAAAAGTATCCGTGGAAAGTGGTCCACAGACCATAAATTCTACTGCGGGTAATAAAGAAAATCCTATTTATGTTGTTATCGAAGAAGGTATGTAATTCACGATTCCTTCAAAATAAATTTTATTAAATTTTTTAACATACAATTTCAACGGAAACAAATTTAGCTCGTGGATATATGTTTTGGAGAGCTTTACGTTGGGTGGGAATAACATTCACATATGCATTCTGTATCTTGACTTTCTTAAGTATCGCTATGGAAAATTCTGGTTTGTTAAAAACCGGTAGTTCCCAATCCGAATTTGAACCTTCCTCTCAACAAGTTGTTAAATTTTCCGATGTACATGGAGTTGATGAAGCTAAAGGTGAATTAGAAGAATTGGTTGAATTTTTAAGAGATCCTTCCAAATTTACTGGATTAGGTGGAAGATTACCAAAAGGTGTATTACTTACTGGTCCCCCAGGTACCGGAAAAACTTTATTGGCAAGAGCTGTCGCTGGTGAAGCCGGTGTACCATTTTTTTTCATGTCTGGTTCGGAATTTGATGAAATGTATGTTGGAGTTGGAGCAAGAAGAGTTCGTGAACTTTTTGGTAAAAAAAAAAAAAATAATAATAATAAATAAATAATATTTTTTTTTTTTTACTTCTCTCACACGTTACTCTCGTATATCTTATGTTGTTTCTCATGTTTATTCTCTCATTGCTTATTGCTTCTCTCGGTTGTAATGGTAAAATTATAGCATCTGCAAGACGAAAAGCACCTAGTATAGTATTCATTGATGAATTAGACGCAATTGGTTCTAAACGTAATCCAAAAGATCAAACATATATGAAACAAACATTAAACCAACTATTAGTTGATTTGGATGGGTTTGTAGGTTTGATTATATATCAATTCATGTTTTTTTCTTTAATATTTTTAAACCTATGTTGTTTATTATTATTATTTTTTTTTTTATTTTTACTATCATGATTATCATTATCATTATCATTATTACTATAACTTTTAGATTTTCCCAAACCGAAGGAGTAATTTTCATTGCGGCAACAAATTTTCCGGAATTATTAGATAAAGCATTAATTCGACCAGGTCGTTTCGATAAGCATGTATCTGTTCCTCTTCCGGATGTACGAGGAAGAATGCAAATCTTAAAACATCATTTGAAGAATGTACAAATCTCTCGTGGTAAAATTAAAAAAAAAAATAATAATTTATTTTTATTTATTTATTTAATTTAGTTTTATTGAATAATATTAATAAATGTTTTATTTTTTTTTATTTATTTATTAGATGTTAACATTAGTATAATTGCCCGAGGTACACCAGGATTTTCCGGTGCAGATTTAGCAAATTTGGTTAATCAATCAGCGATTCAAGCTTCAAGGGATGGTTCACCTAAAGTTACCATGAAACATATGGAATACGCTAAGGACAAAATACTTATGGGAGCCGAACGAAGGTCGGCGGTAATTACTGAAGAAAACAAACGTTTAACCGCTTATCATGAAGGTGGACATACTTTGGTAGCACTTTATACCCCAGGTGCATTACCTTTACATAAAGCCACCATTATGCCAAGAGGTTCGTCACTTGGAATGGTATTTATTATTTTATTATTTTATTATTATTTTATTATTATTATTATTATTATTATTATTATTATAAAATTATTATTATTTAAAGGGAATATACTTTTTTAATCTCCATTATTATTATTATTATTATTATTATTATTATTATTATTAATTATTAATTATTAATAATTTAGACGGTGCAATTGCCAGAAATGGATAAAGACAATTACACAAAGAAAGAATTTCTTGCGATGGTGGATGTTGCAATGGGTGGTCGAGTTGCCGAAGAATTAATATTTGGTAAAGAGAATGTTACAACCGGTTCACACAATGATATCGTGAATGCGACAAACGTTGCTAAGCGTATGGTCACTTTGTATGGTATGAGTGATAAGGTGAGAATATATATATATTTATATTTATTTATTTATCCATTTATTTATTTATTTATTTATTTATTAATTTATTTATTCATTTATTAGGTTGGTCCAGTGGCTCATCCAGAAGAAGACATTGAACAATTAAGTATGCAAACAAAATTAGTCATTGAAAGTGAAATCAAGGCATTATTGGAAGTAGGTTTTCATTTATTATTATTATTATAAAAAATAAGATTTTATATAAATATAAATTTAACAAAATCATTTATTTTTATTTTTTAGAATGCTCAACTACGTGCATCAAACATTTTGAAAAATCATAAAGACGAATTACATCGATTAGCAAAAGCCTTGGTTGATTATGAAACCCTTTCTCAAGAAGAAATTGAGTTAGTCGTAAAAGGAAAGAACATTCAACGATAAAGTGGTTTCTTTTTTTTTTTTTTTTGCGTTGGAACATTGTGTATTTTTATTATTGAAAATTTTTTTATATATCTTCTTTTTTTTTTTTAAATTTTAAAAGTCATACCATTTTTTTAATACTTTATTTGAAATTAAATATATCTATATTTTTTTTATAATTTTAAAGATTTTAGAAAAAAAAAAACATTCACACATCAGCTATAATAATAATAAAAATCATTAGAACAAACCATTATTTTTTTGAATGTTTTTGAATGTATTTTTTGTTGTCTGTAAAATAATAAAGAATTAACATATGATGATGTTACACAACGAAATCACCTATGTAAACACCAGTTGTTTTTTTTACAATTCTTTCTTGCAACGTTAAGTTTTTTCAATTTTTTTCTTTTTTTTGTAGGTACTTATTTTTATATTTACATAATAAAGGCAAAGGATGTAAGAAACTACTATCGTTTGATTTATGAGCCCATCAATGTGTTAGGGATCACAATTATTCGTGCCCGTGACTGTTCCTACATAGGGTCGAGTTTGAGTTACGGATTATAAGGCAGTGGTGAACTTATTATTATTATTATTAATTATTATTATTTTAGTTTTATCTAATATAGAAATTCTGTTAATGATTAAATAAAAGATTATTTATATACAGTATTTTAATTAAAATAATGAGGTAATGTCTTGATGATGAGGTCAAGATGATAATAATTGGGTAGAAAAATATTTAGATAGTTGGCAAACTTCGATCTACAAAATATCGTTATTGAAAATAATTCATTGTTGTAACGTACCTATATGATTATAAGACGGAAAGAGATCATATCGAAAATATCATCACGTAAAGAAATAAAGTTGATAATAACCACCATAATATCATACACATGATATCAATCGCACATAATATCACAATATCTAAATATTGTTTTCAGGAAAAGAAAATATGCATTTAAAAATTTTATTAAAGTGGAAAATCAATCAAATAAATCACTCTTCTTCTCTTCTCCTCAAACAAACAAACAAAAAGAAATACAAATACATCGGAAAATAAAGAACAAAAATAAAATTACTATTATAATCAAAAAAAAAAAAAAGAAAAAAACTAATCAAACTCGAAAATTAGCTGTACTATTAAAATAATTATTGAACCACTGAGAGCTATAGTAACTATTGCTATTATCAACTTGGTGAAACCTTGTGAATAGAGATGGAACTAATGAATGTATTAGTCTCGTCTAATAAAAAAAAATAATATGAATAGGAAGAATGAAAGAATGAAAGAACAAAAAAGAAAAGATCAAACTACAAAAAGAAAAAAGAAAAAGAAAAAAAATATGTAAAATTAATTTCATTATTATTATTTTTTTCAATAATAAATAATGATGATGATAATAATAATAATAATAGTATATTATACTGATAATAAAAATATGTAAAAGTAATAGTTTGTCTTATTTTATCTTCTTTTGTTTTTGTCTACTTGGAAGAATTGAAGTCTGTTGTTAATGTGATAAATAAAAAAAATAAAGTCCATGCTTATTCCTTTTCCTTTTCCTCCTCCTCCTCCTCCCCCTACTCTTCCTTCCCCCTTTTTTTTTTATATATTAATTTTCCATTCTATGTTTTTAATTTCGACCAAAAATATATAAAAAAAAATACATAAAAAAATACATAAAAAAATACATATATAAAATAGATATATGTATATATAATGTATATAATTAATTATATATTAATTACACATTAATTGTATATTAATTACACATTAATTGTATATTAATTAATTATATATTATGGAGGTATGTTCTTGTTTAAGGTAAACCAGAACCGAATATAAATATTGTTATTAACGAAACACCAAATGTTACTAAAAGAGGAAGATATGGAATCGAAAAGCCTGCTGTATTACAAGTAGGACATTGATATTCTAAATATAACAAAAAAAAAAAAATAAGTATTCGAACATTTATATATACGTCCATATTAAATATATACATATTTATCATTTGAAGAAATTTTTTAAAAAAAAAGAAAATTTACCGTCAAGGGGTACAGATTCTCGAGGGGTATACATTCCAAATTGTAGACCACCCGCAAAAACTGCCAATCGACCATTCGTCGGTTGTGCGGTTAAACCTCTTTCATCACATATATATAACTTATAAGTGGCCATGGGTAATGAAGTTTCTGTAGATGTATCCCAAATCACTTCGGTCGTATCACCCGAAGAATTGTTTGAAATGTTATACCAAGTTTTCGTATCAAGATTGGATTGAGCATAAACTCTAATCTCTTTTGGCGTCAAATTTGGACCAAATGAACTTAAATATTTCCAACCAAAAGTAATGTTTGAACCAATTTTACATAAAATATTTTTTTGTGAGGCAGGTTCAGTAACACTTATTAGTACTGCGGACATAGGAATGGTGGATGCAACAGGAAGTCCACCAGTATAAGTATTATTAGCCTTGCCAGTATTAGTACTATTACTAGGTTTATTTGTACCACTTGGGGATGAACTAGAAGTTGTAGAATTTTGTATAGTTGGACCATATTCATCTGATGTTGTTGTAGGTGCTGGAGTTGAACGATTTGAACTTGAATTTGATCTTGATGATGTAGGACCCGAGGTAGTAGATGAAGGAGTATTAGCAGAATTTTGAGGTTCTATATTTTTTTTTTCAATTTTTTTTTTTTTAAAAGACTTTGTATTAATATTATATATATATTTAAAAAATATGATAAAATCAATTATATTGTATTCTTTTGAAAGTTACCTCTCTCCCATAATTCTATATCTTCTTCGGCTACTACTTGTAAAGAAAATAATAATAAAACTATAACGACAACTGAAAACGTTGCCTTTAGTGTTGACGAGTGCATTATATCTAAATTATATATAAATATATGTTTAAATTTTTTTTATATATATTATATCTATACGCGTATTACTGTTATGTATGTGTATATATATTTTTTTTGGTATATCTCAAAGATGGTTCCTTAATAATAATAAAATAATCATTAGCTTAACTATCCTTATTACATATATTACATATATGGTTTGTATTTCAGTACATTTATGGCAAAAAAAAGTTGAAAATTTAGTAAAAAAAAATTAAAAGAAAGAAAACCCACTTGAAAGGAAAATAGATATATATAAATATATAACAATTGTCGTAAAATTATTATTTTTTTATGAGAACCAGTTAAAGCGAAAAGGTAACTTTCAAAGTGAAATGTTCGCTGCAGTAATAAAACTTTGAGCACTTTTATATAATTTGATTGGCTCTTTCATGTTGCACTTTGTTAAACTCCTAATAATAAATACCACTTAAAATAAATATATATAATATAATTTTTTAATATATATAATAATAAAACTCAACACCTTATTTGAACAATGTGTTAATTATAGTACAGATCAAGATAAAATCTAAATATAAAGTTATTTCTTAATTTACTTTCCTTTTTTAGCAATTTTTATTAGATCTTCGAAATTCTATTTTCAATCCGGAATAGCGAAAAGATAATAATAAAATAAAATGTGAGAAATAATAAGAATAATAATAAAATGAATGAATGATGATAAAATGAATGATGATAATAAATGATAATGATAATTATGATAATTGAAGAAGGTGAAGGTGATGATGGTTTTGCTAAAAAAAAAAAGTATCTTTTTTTTTAATGTACATGCAGGGTTAATTTATTATTATTATTAATTAAAAATTTATTCATACATTAATTTACTATGTTAAGATTTATGATTTATATGATTTGATTGTGACACAAATTAAGTGGAGATGAAAACAAATGAAATTGAAAAAAAAAAAGTCAAATGTTAAGGTTTACTAAATCTCCCATACTTAAAAAATTTTCCGTTTCAAGATTTTTCGGAATTTCAGGGGATAAAAATAGTTTTTAAATATCGACATTATGATCAACAATTATTTTTTATCACAAATCTTCATTTAATAAATTTTACTTTATAAAAATAATAATAATAATAATAATAATAAGAGAAATTAGGGATAATTAATTGTTACGTAGAGATAATTGGTCATTATCATGATGTCAAAACATCGATCATTAACACAATTAATGAAGACTATAAATAGGGTTTACACAAGTCTAGAGCGGTAACATTTTTTTTACAGAAAGAGAAACATCTAGTAAAGGTGGATAGTAATGAGGGAATTGTAACAAGAGGAAGGGGGAAAGCCTCTAATAATAAGTTTTTCTAAATTTTTTTCTTTTTAGAATCAGTTTTTCCCTAATCCTTAATTAGGTTGATTAAAAAAAAAAATTTTTTTTTATTGGGGAGGAAAGAATTTGAATATTATTGGACAAATTTTGTTGACATTCATAATTCAATATATTAAATTGGTCAATAATGGTAATTGTAATAATGGTGTATTTTATTTGCTGACATCGAAAATAAAATAATGACATTTTATTTATTTAGCTTATGAATTGGTAAATTAATGTTTATGGAGTGGATAATATATAACTTAATATCGAGAGAGAGAGAGAGATTTATAAAGAATCTAAAGAATCTGTGGAATGTTTTGCATAATCTGATTAATAGTATAATACACAATTTACATTTCGGCATATAATTTTGGTTGTGATTTTGATCATTACACAAAAGAATAATTTGGTCACAGTTAATTCACGCGATACTCATCCGATAGGCTTATTACGCGTATCCTAAACGCGAATAATCAACTCGTACAAGTTTTCTTTGTAAAATAATGTTATGACAAAACCATCATAACATTCATAACATATTCTAAACTCGCAATTATGTCCATATCTAAAAAAACGGTACGAAAATTAATGTGTAAACTTCATTTTTCTATGATCTTGGCTTTTTTATTTTTGTTCATTTCCAAAATATACTTTAAACGAAAAGTTTCAGACTAGAGTATTATTGGAATGTAGCTTAGAACCTTATATGAAAAAAATAGAGTGTTACTTAACGTCACTCGAGTTAATTGCTGATACAAAGAATGATCAAAGTCGGGAAAAAGCACAAGAACTCCTAGAACTTTACAAGCAGGCAAGTACAGAGTTTTCGTGTTTTTAAGGATAGGTGGCGTGATAGTGATCTTTGGGATACCTATCATTCAAGTCTTCGGGATGAGCCACGAAGGCAGTGTTGGGGCGCAGGTGACCTTTGGGGTTGCCTGATGTTTATAAATCTTTGGGATTACTGACACTGCCAGTCACAGACTAATATAATTATTAATTATATGACCTTTGGGTCATCTGATGGCAAAATGAAAATTAAATAGCAAATGAAAGTTAGATGGAATGAATACGCAGTCAAGGATACTACTAATTCCTTAAATTTATCATTTTAGGATAACATCCAACTGTAAACGGGACGGTTAGCGGAACAATAAATAGTTTAAATACAATAAATGGTGTAAATGGAAATATAACTGGCGATGCATTTAACATAAAACTTGTGCCCAGGATGAATAATCAAGAAGAGGTAAAGATTTGTAGCTTCAATTAGAACTATTATTTTGTGCTTGTTCTTAATGAATTACAATTTTAATTCTATAGAATGATAATAAAGTTCAGAAAAGATTAAGAATTAATGATTATTTCGCTGTACATGCTACCACCCCTCAACGTGAACAGTATCAACAAGAAAATCAGGTAGCTGTGTTTTAATGAATGACCCGCTTCATTCCAATATTATTTTTATTGATTAACATTATATTTCTATAGAATTTGAATAATCTCTCTCCGGAAAGTTCCAATAATAATATCTCAAAAAAACCTCAGAATGGTAGGTCAATATTGGAGTCAGCGGATTCGAAGATGAACCAAGGGAATCATAATTTTAAGTGTGAAGGTAACGAAGATCTTAGTTTTTGCGACATTTCTGAGATCTAATTTACAAACATATTGCATATATAGATGTCGAAAAATGAATATTATGATGTTAAAAAACGAGCAAAGAATCTTTTATTCATGGGAAGACGCAGTCGATAGGATTGATTTCAGAAATACTTCGAAAAAAAAAGATGTGGGTAAATTATGAGGTCAATGCTTCGTTGCATCCACCGTACATTAATTATACTTATACACCTTTTCAGTGGATTTTTGAAAGTTGTAATCTCTCCAAAGAGTTCCGGAATTTTCAAAAGTTAACAATTCAATAAGTTAAGGAAACCTTATCTGTGTTACAAAAAAGATATCCATGAAATTCTGTAAGTATTACGAATATGAATTTCTGTGGTTTTCAATACTATATTCATTATTTATATGATAAAAATAGATGCCTATCAAATATAATGCTGTCGTCAGTAATTATCAATATAATTCTGGAATACTCTTCGGTAAAATTTTATTTCTTATTTACAAATTTTTGTTAAAATTGCAACACTTCGCACTAAACATCTTTTATTCTAGTTGTTAAATTTGTTTACACCACTGGATGAAATTGAAGGCAGATGGTGTGCAAATTTCTCCAGAGGATAGAACTAATCTTTGTAAATGTCAGGTCATATTATGGAACTTGTAGGTGTCACATTTGTAGTTATATGCCAAATTATATTACGAAATTGTACGTGTTACTTTGTAGTTGTCACAATTAATTTGATACCTTTTACAGTTTTTTGTTAGGCCCTATTAATAAAGATAATGAGGATACATTTGTCCACAACACTTTACACGACTTAATAAATGAGATTTTTCGTGAATCAGAATCAATATTAGAATTAGTATGGTACGTTTATAAGCATTGTATGGATATAATCACTGTTTTTGTTGAAAATATATTGAACATCTATATGCTTGATCTAAAAGGGCAAATAGTGAGAGCTCCTCTTCGAAAATTCGACATTCAAGCAACAAGGAAAATGACATTGTTAAAGGTAACAAACCCGACTTCAAGATTTTGACCAATAATAAAGATGAAATACTCTTTAGCGAAGTTAAAACAAAGGATTCTTCATCTATATTGGTGAAAAAAGATTTTATCAAACTTGCTGAGTTCCAAGCAGGTACTTTGGACGAATTAATCACGAAATACGGAAACAAAATTGGAACGATTTCTTTTGGTATATGGGTATGTGGTATGTATACAAATTTGAACTGGCTTTTTTAATACATATACCCAACTAACATCTGATTGCATTCATAGGTGCGCATGTTCGTATCTATGAGATGGATCTAAATTATGACGGAGTATATAGAATGATCCTGGTCACAAATGTATCTTTCCCAACAGAACGGGAAAAAATCATAAATTTGGTTCCGTTTTTAGAAGCGTTTTATAATATCAAAGTGGTTAAGATAGTAACTATTTATTACCTTTGATGCAAATTGTCATCAACCATTTAACATCTTTCGTTTTATGATCTTAAGAATCGTATTTCTGAAGTTTCAACGGTGATCGCCTCGCCTAATTCTCCGTCACGTTCCACCTATGGCAGGATGCCTATCCCTTCGCCAAACCTTGTCAAGATTGCAATTACTGGTCTACGATCAAATTAAAAATTTTTGTAGCACTAAATAATGGTCACAAAAATCTTTTTTTTTTATCTCAACTAAAAATTCTATGTACAACATGATGAAAAAAAGATCAACCAAGAATTAATTTCATTAACACAGAATTTTCTGAAAAAACTTATAAATTAACATTAATAAATGATAAAAACTTTATTAATATATTTCATTTTTCCGGAATTTACATGGGTCGTAAACACATAAAAAATGTAATAATTATTTATTATGGCAAGCCAAACCAAACAGGGTGTAAAATCTCACATGTATGTGAGAAATAACATCAATGTATTGGTGATATTGGTGATCTCTCAGTTAAAAAATTTATCAGCGGATAATAAAATCGGCATCACTGATAATTAAAGCATAAAAATCACATGATGAAATTTTCGATAACAGGCAGAGTAAAAGCTAATTTTTACACTGGTAGATGAATATATGATAAAAGATAAAAATTTTATTCAGAAAAAAAAATAGGACTAGATTTGGTATTACGAAGGCACTGATTACGCAATTAATTTATTTGAAACGTAGAAAAAAATTATTTTAGACATGCTGTGCAAAAAAATTTTGTTTCCAATTTTTTGTTATTTATGATTAAAATTGTAAAGTACACTCACTTATCAAAAGTATTGCGCCAGAGGCTTTTTTTAAAATTTATTAACATTATTCAAAAGTCAATTATGGAACAACGAATAATCGAAATTGTGACAAACTTTTTTTTTTATTAGATTTCCCTGAACTAGGCTTATCATATAATGCATTTGTATTAAAATTGAGTGGAGTAAAAGTGACAATAAATAATAATTTTAATCTTTGAAAGTTACCCATACCGGATTCGATGGATATTAAAGAAAGATGCCAACTATCTTATATAAAACTGTAGCCAGAAATGATATCTACAACTTTAATTAGAAGCATAATTCATAGTATCTAGTAAAAATTTGGACTTTACTTAGACG